TAGCACCCCAAACCATAATTCCAACAGTGTGATGAACATGTCTTTCAACAAAAAACTGTGGATTCCTCCTTTCACCACGTCGCCTTCTAACCCTGGCACAACCATCGTGCATGCCTAAACAAAATCGAGACTCGTCACTAAAGACAATACTGTTCCATTCCTGATCCCAGAGTGACCGTTGTCTGCACCACTCAAGGCGATTACGTCGGTGTTCTCGAGTTAAAGGGAGGACCCAGTGTGGCCGGTATGAAAACAAGCCAAAACTTATCATTCGTCGGTAAACACTTCGCATGCCAATAGGTCTTCCGTGTTCTGGAAACCTTTCATTTGCAATGGACCTGGTAGTGGAGAAATGGTCCCTTAAGGCCAATAATCTTAGGCGGCGATCTTCACGGTCTGTTGTTCTACGGCGGCGTTCAGTGCCCCTTGCTCTTTGCCTACGGCCTTCTCGAAGCCATGCCTGACAACACCTAACCACAGTGTCTACACTTCTTTGCACTCTAACTGCAATTGCCCGAAAACTCACCAAAATCCGCCAACGTTGATTCTTTACTGCGGCTGAAATATTCATTTTTAGAGCGTGAGTGAATTAAAAAAAAGCAGAATAAAAACCGGAATGTCCAACTAGTAGTGCTGAACATTTTTTCACTTGTTATTTACAGTAAGATAAATACATTCACCAACTTTTATTAAAATAAAACCATTTAAACTGGGTGTTCGGATTTGTCACTTAGTATAACTAATAACAGCTATCAATAAAATTGCTAGTAGTCATAATCTTTGTTTGAACCCTTTAAACACAAATATGTTGGTATATGCAAATAAAAAAGGACATTAACATAGATCTAAAAGGTAATAAAATAGTACCTGCGAATCGTCCGAAGAACATAGTTATTATAATGGATGATGATTTGAAATTTGTTGGACACGTAAACTATCTAATTTCTCAGTGCTACGGTATTCTCAGAGTTTTATTTGTAAATAAGACTACATTATATAATTTTCTTTTAGAGAAGTCGCCAATCGGGTGAATCGAAACGAAGCTATTGTAATGAGATGTTGTCGAGCGTGGTTCCAAGAAGGCCAAAATCGACGAGTTCAAAGTACTAAACGTCAAAGACAGGCTACAGAGGGACATTATCGTTATTTGAGGCAACTACCACTTAGATATCGATTTTCCACAAGGGCAGTTGCGAACCAGTGGTTTGATGCTGTCGAAAGAGTAATAACAATGAGGACAGTGTATCGTCGAATAAGGTGTTTTGGACTGTTTTCATACTGTCCCCTTCTTGTACTACTTCTGACCCCACATCATTGTCGGCAACGATTCGTATGGTAGGAAGAGACTTGAATGGAATATGGAATGGAACTCAGTCGTGTTCAGCGATGAGTCCATATTCTATTTGGGCACACATGATGGCCGTGCAAGAGTAAGAAGGACACGCGGTGAAATATATTCCATCGAACGGCATATTCATCGCACTGTGGGCGTTATGGTATGGGCTGCCATTGCTTACGACAGCAGATCGCGATCGAGGTAGCATGACTGCCCAGCGCTAGATCCACGTAGTTTTACAACCACATCTTCTTCCCTTTTTGGAAACATTGCAAGATCCAGTTTTTCAGCAGGATAATGCACGATCTCATGTCGCACGTGTTAGTTTAGACTTTTTAGAAGCGTCCAGAGTAAATCTAATTTAGTGGCCTTCTCGATCCCCAGACCTTTCCCCCATCGAACATGTACGGGACATGATGGCAAGAAGGTTGCAAAATTCACCGCTCCCTCCACAAACATTGAAGGCTCTACGAAACCAAGAAGACATCAATCACGTAATCAAATCAATGCCGCGACGACTTAATGAATTTTTAGCGAACAGAGGAGCTTCAACTCATTATTAACATTATGGTTAAGTTAAAATTTTAATCACTTTCTATTTAGATATCAGTAGACCTACAACCTGAAAAGGTATGTTCAACATTACAGCACTCCTAGTCAGTGTTGTATACTGAGTGACATATAAATCCGAACACCCAGTTTAAATGGTTTTATTTTAATAAAATTTTGTATAAGTACTTAATGAAGCATAATAAGTAAATGATAAAAATTTCAAAATGATTGCACTGCTTTAAATCCCTTTGACCTTTAATAATGTGTGGATGCACCCTGATGTGCTACGCATTCTCCAACGCGCCTAGTCATGCTTCTGATCAGGTGGTCAATGTCCTCTGTGGTATCTCATTCCCGGCAACTACCAACTCCTCTCGAAGTGCTTCTAGAGTCTGAGGAGGACGTTGCAAATTGAGCAATCTCCTACCCATCATATCCCACACGTGCTCAATTGGGGATAAGTCGGGAGATCTTGGTGGCCATGGTAACAATGTGACATCAAGAAAGAAGTCTATTGTGACTCTTGCAACATGTGGTCGGGCATTATCTTGTTGGAAAGTTGAATCTGCCAGGGTAAAAGATGGGGTTCTAGAACTTCGTGGATATAACGCTGCGCGTTCATGTTACCTCTGATGAAGATTAAAGGTGGCCTGGAACCATAAGCTATAGCACCCCAAACCATAACTCCAACAGTGTGATGAACATGTCTTTCAACAAAAAACTGTGGATTCCTCCTTTCACCACGTCGCCTTCTAACCCTGGCACGACCATCGTGCATGCCTAAGCAAAATCGAGACTCGTCACTAAAGACAATACTGTTCCATTCCTGATCCCAGAGTGACCGTTGTCTGCACCACTCAAGGCGATTACGTCGGTTTCTCGAGTTAAAGGGAGGACCCAGTGTGGCCGGTATGAAAACAAGCCAAAACTTCTCATTCGTCGGTAAACACTTCGCATGCCAATAGGTCTTCCGTGTTCTGCAAACCATTCAATTGCAATGGACCTGGTAGTTGAGAAACGGTCCCTTAAGGCCAATAATCTTAGGCGGCGATCTTCACGGTCTGTTGTTCTACGGCGGCGTCCAGTGCCCCTTGCTCTTTGCGTACGGCCTTCTCGAAGCCATGCCTGACAACACCTAACCACAGTGTCTACACTTCTTTGCACTCTAACTGCAATTGCCCGAAAAGAAAGTCCAGCTTCCCGAAGTCCCACTATACGGCCCCTATCAAACTCACTAAGTTGACGAAATCGTACAGGTCTCCTTACTCTAGGCATCGTAACCAATCGTAAAGAATGTCAAGAACCAAAATCCGCCAACGTTGATTCTTTACTGCGGCTGAAATATTCATTTTTAGAGCGTTATTGAATTAAAAAAAAGCAGTATAAAAACCGGAATGTCCAACTGATAATGCTGAAAATTTTTTCACTTATTATTTACAGTAAGATAAATACATTCACCAACTTTTATTAAAATAAAACCATTTAAACTGGGTGTTCGGATTTATATGTCACTTAGTATATTTTCTGTGTCATATAGTATATTTAGTAGCCAAATTCATACGCAGAGGAAATATGCATGGCACTAACATTAGATATAGAGAGAGTTTTTCAATTCCATGCCACAGCCCATCTCCATTCCAGAATACATACAGGGTGATCAATTTGAAGACTAAGTGTCCATATGAATGGGTCCGTGACGACTTTCTTTTCGAGCTAGACCACTATCACTAAAGAAATACGAGTAATGTTCCAAATATTTATATGAATAATGAAACGTATTTATTGAATAGTTGGTATAACCTATTATAAATTTTGCATGTATTACAAGTTGCTGAGGCTCAATATGAACTTGGATCAAAATAGTATTATCCTGTCAATAGTTTTGAACAGTAATATTCAAATAGAATGACAATAATAGAAAATATCGAATAGTTTTTGTTTAAGTTAATGTTCGAAGTGGCCACGAATTATTTGAGAAAATAAATTAATTCAATTATTTCCGGGTACGTCATAGGTGTCTAGATAAGCACAATGCTCAAATACAGGGTGTCCGCAAAGTTGGGGTTTTCCTTTACACGACGTGTAGATCTTGAAAACATAAGCAATTTTTCTTAGTACCATATACACCAATGTCTTAAGGGAACCGAGATAAAGGGCTCTGCAACATCAAAAATATCTGAATACCGTCCTGTAGCCGCGACCCGCGACATCCCCGAGTAGTACTAGGACACTAGCTAAACCCGACGACAGAACTGGGTCGGGGGTCGGGTCAGTGTGTCAGGTCAGTATGCAATCTTCAACCGACGGTTACGGTCACGCGTGTAGAGGTAAACGAACCCGTATAATCGATTGCGTTTCAAAAAACAACAAGCACTAGAGACGTGGCTAGAGACGTGCAAGTATCAAAAACTAAAGTGTGGCAAACGCTGCGTGAAGAGGGGCTGTATCCGTTTCACGTCCAACGTGTACAAGCCCTTCAACCTGACGATTTTCCAGCAAGAGTGCGGTTTTGTGAGTGGTTGTTGCATCAACATGACAATAATCCGGACTTTTTGAAGTGCATATTGGTTACAGACGAATCTACGTTCACGCGTAATGGGGTGAATAACTTTCGCAACACTCATGTTTGGTCACATTTTCAACAAAATATCCGTCCTCAACAGGATGGTAAAGTTTTGAATGATAAAAATAGCGGTATCTTTATGCGCCCAAAAAGCAGAGGCAATACTTCTAGAGCAGAAAGTGCACAAAAAACACCAAATATCTCTTTAAGCACTGGTGTTGTAGATTTCTGTGCCCCTAATGAATTGAACTTAAGAACGTAAATCGTTCTGCTGCTGTCGTTGATGCAACTGAAAGACATTATCGCTCTAAGAACGAAAGATGTCGTCAACCGTCATAAAATAGAAAACAATATCAATCAAAGGGAAAGGTGTTCACCGGAGGTATCATACTGCATGAACACAGAATGAACTGAATCTGTCTGTGTCTGTGACCATGACTAACCATATATGACGTCATATGTTTGTCTGCAAGGGAAATCTATACCGACACTGATAATTGCTAACCGATATTTTCCCATAAACTATCGTGAAAAACGAAAAACATTTACCTTTCCTCTAGGCCAGTAACAGCGTCTCTCATTTTCATTTAAGCATGCTTGAGGTTCAGGCTCCGTTTGATAACCCCAATCTATAGAACTGCCAATGAAGTTTAAGAACATCGATGGTACTTGAGTGCCCGTGGGTTCATCGCCACCTGAAATGGATGAAGCAGGTTAGTAAGCAGGGTAGATGGAATACGTACGTTTTTAAAGCGATTGCATGTACCTTGTACAACATCATCATTAGGGTATCCCAAAAATATGAAAATTCTGTTTTTCAAACGCACAGCCTCTAATTTTGCTTGAACAATGTCAAAACAACTGTAAGTAAACCTGCATGTACCTAGAACTAGGGCAACCCGTGCCGAGTTGCGTTGGAACATGTCAAAACTTGCATATTAGGCGCGCGCTAGCTAACGTATTGCAGTGCTCGTTTGTTCTATTAGTAAACGCACTCTTTTCGTTCAGTCAACATGTCAAAGGAATTACGCATTTCTAAAAGGAGAATTTTTAATGGGAGATGTAAATCATCAAATTGTGGGATCAAAACTTCTATCTAATGGTCAAGTACTAGCAGTTTTGATCTATAATATCGGATAAGTGCAAGGAAGTATCAATGAGTGCGCCAACTTTACTATTCGTGAGTGCACTATTTAGTAGGAAAAGGCGCGTATACCGACTTAAGGCAGCAACGGTGGCCGTAGTAGTAGACTCTTCGTGCGCTGTGCGGGTTCGAATTCCGTCTCAAGAGAAATTCTTCTCTTGGCTATGGATGTTGTGATTGTCCGTAGGTGGTAGACGGTCTCTGACTGACGAACGCAGAGGTACCCTCAGGCGGATCTCGTAGGCGGGGCCAGAATGTGTGCATGGTGTTTAGGACTTAGGTCTTCGTGGTGGTTGAAGCATAAAAAAAGCCTTGTATGGACAGAATCAACCGCTGGTCCCCTGATTTTTTGCAAAGCTATGTCATTAGGATGCACTTCTATGAGGTCCCTACAATATGTATGAGTTTGGCGGTGGCACAATTCTTCATTTCGGTTCTGCGATTTCTTTCTGTTTTAAGCAGTGAATACTTGTATACGGAGAATCACCCTGTAGTCCCCTGATTTTTTGCAAAGCTATATCAGTGAGACGTACTTCTATGAGGTCTCTATAACGTGTATGAGTATGTCGACGGCACAATTCTTCGGTCGAATTCTGCGTCTTTTTTTCGGTTTTGAGGAATCAACCCTTGTACGCCCAGATTCACCCTGTAGTCCCCTGATTTTTCGCAAAGCTATGTCATAAGGATGTACTCCTATGAGTTCTCTACAACATATATAAGTCTATTGGTGACACAATTCTATATACAGCGGTAGTACAATTAGGTCTAATAACAGTAGGAGCGTCATGTAAGAAATCATTATTGGTATTTTTCCTATTAAGATCGCACACTTGCCTGTTTTCGTTTTCCCGTTCACTCCACCCCCGGTTAATATCGAATTTTGGGATATTATCTGGAATAATTTGTTTAAAAGCCTTGTTTAACATAAAGCAACCCCCAGGAGCTGAAAATACCAGTTTTTTAGCATATCGGCGATTTGGGCTCACTACGGAATTGGTCGACTGTAATTTCATATTTCAATCTGAATCTGAAGCTAACTTCAGGGACGTAGCACACAGCCTGATACAAATTAAGCTCAAATGGGGGAAACGTTTCATAAGTCCAAAATTAGCGGCAGCTTTAGATAGGTGTCAGTTAAGTATAAGAAATGCAGTTTTTATTATAGAAGCAACCATTGGAGCACTTGGACATAACTCTGACGAGTTTCCTATAAACAAGTCCCTTATTCAAAGAATTCGTACCTAAGACCGAAGGAAGCTGTAAAGCTAGATTTCCAAAGTGAGGTACCGGATACTGTAACTATCCACTGGGATGGCAAATTTTTGCCACATTCAAATAATAATAATGATAATAATGATAATAATAAATAATAATAAATAGCGTTCATTGCCCAACAGTTAGGACAACCATTTACAGGACAATCCTAAGATAAATCAAAATAACAAGAACAGAAAACACCTAAAAAGCAGGTGATTTCATCTAAACAAACAAGAAAAAGAAGCACAAAAAAACATATTTCACTCAGGTGAGTAACATATCATAAATTATCCAAGCAATTTATAGCTACTCCCAGAATGCTGTTCAAACTGTCAGCGTGTATATCACAATAATTTGATATTGCATTGAAAGTTTCAAACATCACATATACTAAGTGACATATAAATCCGAACACCCAGTTTAAATGGTTTTATTTTAATAAAAGTTGGTGAATGTATTTATCTTACTGTAAATAACAAGTGAAAAAATTTTCAGCCTTATCAGTTGGACATTCCGGTTTTTACACTGCTTTTTTTTAATTCACTAACGCTCTAAAAATGAATATTTCAGCCGCAGTAAAGAATCAACGTTGGCGGATTTCGGTTCTTGACATCCTTTACGATCGGTTACGATGCCTAGAGTACGGAGACCTGTACGATTTTGTCAACTTAGTGAGTTTGGTAGGGGCCGTATAGTGGGACTTCGGGAAGCTGGACTTTCTTTTCGGGCAATTGCAGTTAGAGTGCAAAGAAGTGTAGACACTGTGGTTAGGTGTAGGGTAGGCATGGCTTCGAGAAGGCCGTACGCAAAGAGCAAGGGGCACTGGACGCCGCCGTAGAACAACAGACCGTGAAGATCGCCGCCTAAGATTATTGGCCTTAAGGGACCGTTTCTCCACTACCAGGTCCATTGCAAATGAATGGTTTGCAGAACACGGAAGACCTATTGGCATGCGAAGTGTTTACCGACGAATGAGAATTTTTGGCTTGTTTTCATACCGGCCACACTGGGTCCTCCCTTTAACTCGAGAACACCGACGTAATCGCCTTGAGTGGTGCAGATAACGGTCACTCTGGGATCAGGAATGGAACAGTATTGTCTTTAGTGACGAGTCTCGATTTTGTTTAGGCATGCACGATGGTCGTGCCAGGGTTAGAAGGCGACGTGGTAAAAGGAGGAATCCAGTTTTTTGTTGAAAGACATGTTCATCACACTGTTGGAGTTATGGTTTGGGGTGCTATAGCTTATGGTTCCAGGTCACCTTTAATCTTCATCAGAGGTAACATGAACGCGCAGCGTTATATCCACGAACTTCTAGAACCCCATCTTTTACCCTATCTTGACACCCTGGCAGATCCAACTTTCCAACAAGATAATGCCCGACCACATGTTGCAAGAGTCACAATAGACTTCTTTCAACATAATGATGTCACATTGTTACCATAGCCACCAAGATCTCCCGCAAAGAGGAGCTTATTACAACTTAAACAATGCACAACATCATCAATAAGTAAGGTAAACAATAAAGGACCAAGATTTGAACCCTGAGGCACTCCCGATTTAGTTATATATACTGGTACGACTTAAATCCATTAAAAGTAACATATTGCTTCCTTTCATGAAGATAACTTTGAATGAGTGCTAAAGCTGATGAATGGAATCCATAATAAGGTACCCGGGGGTAATCAGGCCCACCTAAGAAATTATAATTAATATCTACGAGAGAAATTTACTTTTTCAAACTTTCATTATTATAAAAAATAGAAAAGGGTATAAACTAACATAATGGTAATGTTTGAACACAAAATAATCATGCTTATATGTCGAGACGCGAACATTAAAAAAATTGTCTTCTGAGCCTTAAAGCCTGCAAGTGCATATAATAAGGCCCACATTTAAATGAACAAAAAACAAGTCAAACGAATAAACAAAGCACAAAAAAAATCAAAAAATAAAAAGAAAATATTAAAATAATGATATCCAAACAAAAATATCAAAAATATCCCTTTGGGCCTTAATATCTGCAACGACATATAATGAGATTTGAATGAGAGATAAAAAAATAACAGTTCAACAAAATACTGATAGAATAAAAAATAAATGTAACACACTAAAAAAACAGTATCAATGATAAAATATGGTATTAAATATAAATCTAATACTTAAGGCATACAGTGTGGACACAAAAAATTTTCAGTGTCGTCCGCAGTCAAACCAGCACAATCCTCATGGACCCAAAAACCACAAGAAGCACATCGTCTCATATCTGCTACATAGTCTTCGTAGCAAATCACACAGTGCCATTCTTCGTTATGTTCTTTTGTTTTTGATGCAATGGAAGACACAGATTCAGATGGCGATTTAGCGGTATTCGATAAGACTGGAACGGGATCAAGTTGAGACTCCACCTCCTTTAAAAATACGGATCGCTTGACATCAACTGCTTTGTAATTCATAGCTTTACGTCTTGGAGCAGATTTTTTTTTGACTAGATCTGGTGTTGGTAACACTTCCGCGAAGGAATTATTCAAAGGGATTAATTTTTCACGCAATTCACCTAAAGGCAGGTAGTCATCTGAATCATATTCCGAATCATCGGCAGCGGCGGTAGTCTCCTGGTAAGGTTTCTCAGTTGCAAGACTTGGGGCAAATGCTTCAATGGGAAGAACATCCTTAGCATAAGGGCATATTCCCGTAGCTCGAAATCCGCTTGTAATATTTCCAATGGACATTGCTTTCTGCCATGTAGGTGTGAAAACTTCAGAAAATCTTTCCCTGTTTAAATCACGTGTAGGATGTTTATCCCAGTACTTTAACAATTCATCGTCCCAATAAGCTTCAAATGCTCGTAATATAGATTTGTCCATCGGCTGAAGCTCATGGGTGGTGTTACTCGGCAGACAATATAAGTGAATCTCATGAGCTTCTGCTTTCTCAGCAATGCTAATATCCAAATGACATTTGGCCCCATCAAAAATTAAAATTACTGGCGGAGGCGACATGTATTCAATGAAATGGTCTAACCACTTATCAAACGTTTCTATCGTCATGCTCCCTTTAGGCGTCATCATAACTTTTGAGCCAGCCGGTAAGCCAATTGAGTAGGTTAGCTTCATTCTCTTGCCCTTAAAAAGAATGACAGGCGGTATGGCATGTCCGAGAGCATTAGCGCAAGCGACGATAGTTGCGTTTTCGGCGTGTTCATGAGAAATTACATGCACTCGTTTTGCTCCTTTGGCTGCCAGAACGTTTTGTTGGTGGTGAAGAGTCAAGCGGCACCCCTTCTCGTCCATATTATAAATTTTTGCTTCTTTATTTTTTAACTGAGTGCGCTCCAACAAATCTCCTAGTTTTTTGAAATGATCTACGATAAAACGATTTAATTTTTGGGCTCTTGCTGGATTCATGAATTGAGATCGACGTTTTGATATTCTCGGATGATTTTTCAGAAAAGTCCTTACCCACTCCCTACCAGCGAGACGAGTTTCCAATGCTTAATTTTCTTTTGCTCAACATACCTGAACACAGACCTTCTTAATGCTTTTGGTGTTAGCGGAAAACCTTTATCGGCTAGCCGAATTATTTTATTCTCAAGGTCAGTCTCTTCATTATCGGTCAAAATTGTTTGTCTACCTAGTTTTCTCTTCACGCTTTGTGATTTAATGTGGTTCCTAAGTGTTCGTCTGGGTATTCCGCATTTTTGTTCCACCCAGCGCTGGAAATTTTCCCTCGTTAATATAATTTAATGCCTCTCTCATCATCTCTTCATCCCAATTTGCCCTTATCCCTCTGCTTTTTTTACCCATCTTCTGGAAAAGAATAAATAAATCTAATAAATACGTGTATTCATGGCGGCAGAAAATAAAGCCCAAGCCTTTTTCAATGCATTGTAGAAAATAAGACCCGGGCCTTATAACCTGTAGCACAATAAAATTAATTTTGAGGTTACTAAACAACAAACAAACCCAACATAAAAAGAAACGCTACGTAAAATGAAACTATCAGATACATAGATTATCATGCATACATAATGAAAAATCTACGTATTATTAAAAGAATTTAATTTGCTTACTTACCGGTCGAAATTCTTATAAAATACAGCACAGCGAAACGTGACACCATAGAACAAGCCAGGAAGCTCATAACCATAGAACAAAATTACATTTCCGGCAACAGTAATACTAAATATTATTAACAGATGGCGATATAAATTTTTTTTTTTTTTTAACATATAATTGGCATTGGAGTTATCCATTTGCCACAGATGTGTGTTACTTATATTTCTCTAATTATGGACAAACACACGACGTCACAACATCCATGGCGAAGGCGAGATTCGAACTCGCGGCCCGGCCGACCGGCTGATCAGTAGCACGACACTCTGACCAACGCGGCCAACCGAGGCCCCTTGGCGATATAAATATTTTAGGCGCTTTCCTTTGGGCAAACCAGTGTTGTTCCTTAATATCTGGTGGGCCTTATTACCCCCGGGTACCTTAAAAAAGTTTATTCAAAAGTATGCCATGGTCCACCCTATCGAACGCTTTAGCAAAATCGGTATATACTACATCTTGTTGACCTTGCCGATCGATACATTCCATAGCGAACTGAGTGAAGATTGTTAAATTAGTTACTGTGGATCTCTTAGTAAGAAAACCATGCTGAAAAGGGGACAGATTCAAAGTTTGGGCGAAAGTCGGCACGGGTTATCGTTCCCCGATCGCAATATTTACTTTTTGAAATGTTTGTGAAATGGAAAAAAATTATAGAATATGCGTATCTCAATTCGAAAAAAAATGGTTTGCCCTCATAGGCTGGGACACCCTAATGGACACCTTTACATAATTTAGTTTTATTTTCATGACTCATTTTCCTGGCCTCTCCTTACAAACGCCACTGTGAGAAGTACAAGCGAAAAATCAGATTAGTGGACCAGGATGGTGCTTCTTCCCATGCGTTATTTTACTTTTGACCAAATTATGGACAAAATGCTCTTAAATGCTTGAAAAGCAGTTCTTGGCATAGCCAAACATGTGTAAATGTCAATACTGTACAAGCAAACATCTTTCTGAAAGAGCATCTTGGAAAAATTTGGAAAAGTTCCGATGAGGTTATATAAAATAGACTCATTCCAAGACAAATGAGATAAATAACAAAAAAAGGGACGCTCCAACTTAAAGCAGAATTGGTAATCTTAATTTCGGATGATGGTCTCACGCTTTACATGACGCATTGTTCTCCCTACACAGTATGTATGTTAACCCAAGAAGACTCCTGCGACTAGAGGACGAATTATTACCTTGAAGCATCTCTTGAAATACTGACTATTAAGGAATTCCAGCGTAGATCAGATATTAACCCTTAACCGGAAAGGTGCCGTCTGTGAGACTGCGGCGTTTCTATACCTGAGCGTATCTTTTTTTATTGCACCTCTAACAGACGTAAAAACCCATCTAATCCATAAGCTATTAGTGACCATCGCCCACCCCCATTCACACGAGTCTAGCCAAAACGTGCCTTAAAATATGGACCAATTTTAGTTTGTTGCAGTCTGTCAGACGGCACGTTTCCGTTCCCGTTTGCTATTTGTGTTGCATAGGTGCGTTTGCGAGTATGGCGGGACCTTCTAAACGTGTACGATACGATGATCCGGAGTTCGAAGAAACCGTTCTAAAATGGTTTGAGGATGAAGGAAGTGACTTTAGTGATATAGACAGTGCCTCAGAAGACGAATACATGGAATCAGATCATACAAGTGATAGTGAGTTATCAGAAGACGGAGCCGAAGGAAATGAAGAGGATTTACCAGCTCAGAATTATTTCTATGGAAAAAATCGTCATAGGTGGAATATTTCGGAAGTTGTACCATCATCACGTACAAGGAAGAACAATATAGTCATTAAAGTACCAACTCTAAGAGGAAAAGCTCATGAATATGGAGAAGAAGCTCCGTTGACGGTTTGGCAGCTTTTGTTCACTGACGACATGTTGGTACATATCGTTAAGTGGACCAATCACAAGCTCAAAGAAATGCGAAAGAGATACAAAAATCAAACCAGCAACCTAAACGACACTGATTTAGTCGAAATAAAGGCACTATTGGGTCTCTTAGTATATACATCGGTGTTCAACAGCAACCACGAGAACATTGAAACACTTTTTGCCACCGATGGCTCTGGAAGAGATATATTCAGAGCTGTCATGAACATAAAACGATTTGGTATTCTCCTGTCAGCCTTAAGGTTTGATAACCTAGATGACAGGAATGAAAGAAAGAAGCTAGATCCAGTAGCACCAATATCTTTCATTTTTAATAGTTTTATAAAGAACTGTCAAGATGTGTACGGAGTTGGCCAGTCTGTCACTGTCGATGAAATGCTCGTGAGTTTCAGAGGAAGATGTCGATTTAAAATGTATATGCCTGCGAAACCTTGCAAATATGGCATAAAAATTATGGCATTGACGGATGCAAGGAATAGCTACCTCTATAAAGCATATATATACTGCGGTAAAGATTCCGATAGTTTCGAACTTCCTGAGGAACACAAGCGGTATTCCAAACCCACACAATCAGTTCTACGTCTCGCGAAGCCTCTGTTTGGAACTAATCGCAACATTACAGCGGACAACTGGTTTACGTCAATAGAATTAATGGATGTCCTATTGAAGAACAAACTGACCTATGTGGGTACAATGAAGAAAAATAAAAGAGAAATTCCTCCGGCATTTTTACCCAACAAATCAAGAGAAGTCGGATCAACAATGTACGGATTTCGAGAAGATTCCACTATTGTGTCTCATGTAAGCAAAAAAAATAAAGCCACAATACTCATATCTTCTATGCACCACAGAAAATATTGTGATCCGGAAACACAGAAACCGGAAATAATAGCCTATTACAATGCTAATAAAGGTGGAGTTGATTCTCTTGATGAAAAATGTTCGAAGAGTACCTCAAGTCGCCGTTCGCGTAGGTGGCCACTGGTTATTTTCTACCGACTATTGGATATATCGGTAGTGAACTCGTATATTTTACACCAGTGCTATAAGAAAAATGAATTGCAGAAGGAAAAATCGGTATTTGCTAAGATGTTGGCCGCTAACCTGGTCCGTGAGCATATGGAAAAGCGATAAATCGCATCCTTGGCAAATGTGAACATCCAGCAACAGAAGCTGAAAATTTGGTTTTGGAAAAAAGGAAAGCCTGCCTTTTATGTCACCGAACGACCCATCGGATGACCAAATTTTTGGGTGTACAATGTAGGAAGCCTGTATGTCTTCAATGCTCCAAACCCAAATGTATTAGCTGCATAAATATAGGCAATGTTTGAGACTTGCAGTGAATTTTGATTGTGTTCTTTTTGTATTTATTGACTATAATATACTTTCCTTGTTCATTACTTAACTAGAAAATAGAAAAATATTGAGACTTTTCCATAGTTTTAATTTAGTTTCTGAATGTTGCAACAACAGCGTTATTTTTGTATGGTTTTAGCATAGTTAATAAAAATGTTTCTTTTATGTTCTTGTATCATTTTGAAATGAGCATTTTACGTATTAAACACATAAAATAAACATCCAGTATCAGTTTCAGCGAAGTTATTGCTTGCTTTTCGCCTTACTCTAATTTTTTGAACATCTTGAAGTTCGCAGTCTGAGAGACGGCATGTTTCCTTTTGTGTTCCAAAAATTCACGTTTCCTGTTAAGGGTTAAACATGATTGTGTCAGTTCAGGTTTCAGAATATAATTGAAGACATTGCATCTGCTGTCTTCGTGCATATTGCGGATTATCCAAATTATCTAAAGCCTTACCAGCCTCTATAACAAGCACTCTCCATTCTGGTATCTCACTTAGTCTGCTTGCTGTGACAGATCCGCCGCTACCAGCTCCAACCACAATGAAGTCGTAATCGGACAGGCTTTGGGTTTCACGTAACCTACTGCATGGATCTTCTATATCGCATTGGGACCTCAAAAATACCTCTAGTAGACCCATGAACAGCATGTACGGAGCTCCACCACAAGTCGAGGCGAGTGTGGGTCCCGGTTCAGTCACTGGACAGTTGCAGGCCATCTGAAAAACAGATAGTTAAGAAGTTAATGATACACATATCATCAACAGTATGCATAGATGGCGTTATTATATCTCCATGAGCTGAATGAATGGTCTGTGTACCACTACTGGATCTTCCCAAGTCTTGATTAGACTTGAGAACTCTATATGTATTCTATAATGGATTTAGTTCTTACAAATATATGTCAAGTAGTGGTGTACCTCAGGGTTCCAGCTTGGGTCGCCTATTGTTTGCTTTATACGTCAACGATCTTTGCAGCTCTTATCATGCAAGAAGATTATGTTAGCTGAAGACATCTGCTTTACACATCTGCTTATGGCTGGCAAGATTGTGAAAACCTCCAACAGCAAATATTTTTTTTACAAATATGGTGTAGCAATTGTATTTGAACAACTCTGAATCCGGAAAGCCAAATGTTTAACTTACAAATACAAAATAAATGAGAGGTGAAACTTTCAAAGATTTGGGAGTTTATTTCGTTTGTCAGCTACCACAACTACCACATCAGTGATATGATAAGTAATGCGTATCGCACATACAGAAATTGTAAAAATTTCAATATCACAACGCTTATTAAGTTATTTGGTGCTTATTGTAAGTATACTGTGCAATTCACTGGACAACAAATTTTAGTTTTTTAATTGTATCTTGTGGGAAAAGTGCACTTCCTTGTTAATTTTGGAGCGCTGAATCCAAAAATGACAATGAAATAAAAAAAATAGTTGCGGTTTAGAAAAAAAACTTTTTATTTTTAAGGATATATTAAAAAACGTAACAAGATTCATATACTTATAAGAATCACTATATGCGCTGTCTTTTTGCTGTTCTTTTATGGATCGTTTCTGGAGCATCTCTACCATGAGTCCAACAGTAGTCTGCAAGCATGGAAGGATTCCACTTTCCCTGGTACCTTTTTCCATTGTTGAAATATCCTGATGAAAACGTTCGCCGTGCTCATCACTTACGGCTCCGCAATTGTCAGGAAAAAAGTCCAGGTGTGAGTGTAGGAAATGTATCTTAAGACATATTACAGCCCATCTTTTGATACGATGACAGCATATTTTTGACAAGGGTTTTATAGTTGTCAGCTTTTCTATTTCCCAAGAAATTAGTGACCACCAGACGGAAATCATTCCAAGCAGTTTTTTCAATACCTGTAAAAGTGTTTTCAAACTGTGTATCTTTCAAAATATTTCGAATCTGTGGCCCAACAAAAATACCTTCTTTAACCTTTGCCTCACTTAGTCTTGGAAATTTCTGACGCAGGTATTGAAAAGCTGACCCATCTCTATCTAATGCCTTGTTAAAGTTTCTCATTAGGCCCAACTTGATATGCAGTGGTGGTAATAAATTTTTTTTCGAATCTACTGATGGCATATGCTGTACATTTTTTTGTCCTGGCTCTAGGAATTGACGAACAGGCCAGTTTTGTCTGGTGTAATGAAGTGCCTTTGCCCGACTGTCCCATTCACACAAAAAACAGCAAAACTTTGTGTAGCCTAGCTGCAGCCCAAGTAAAAGTGCAACAACTTTCAAATCGCCACAAATATGCCATTGGTGCTCAAGGTATTTTATGCATGTCAATAGGTACTTCATATTGTCATATGATTCTTTCATGTGAACTGCATACCCTACAGGAAGAGATGGTAAAATATTTCCAATATGCAATAACACTGCCTTTAAACTCAATGTTGAACTGTCTATAAACAATCTCCATTCTTCTGGGTTATAGTTTATATTTAAAGCCGCCAGTAAGCTGTTAATGTTACTGCAGAAAAGTTATTCTCCATATTGAAAAATGGTTCTAAGTCTTTGTGGCGTTTACGAAAAACACATACCGAAACATCGTCTTCTAAGTTCCACTTCTGCAGTCTTGATCCAAGTAACTCTGCCTTACATTTTGGAAGTTCTAAATCTCTTACAAGATCATTTAATTCTGACTGTGTTATTTTGTGCGGTTGGTGGCATGACGTGCTCGGTATAAAATCAGGATCTCTTGACGTTGATAGCATATCTTCTTCCTGACGAATCACTCGATCGCCATGATCTGATTCGTTTTCTGATTCGCAAGTGTAGGATTCTGGGGGTTTTGGAATAGGATTTTCGTCACTGTGAGGCACAGGTCTCATCGCAAATGGTATGTTTGGGTAGTTAATAACCGATTTTTTTTTCTTGGACATACTTGTGGCTTGTCCAACACAAGGTACCATGCAAAAGTAACAATCATTAATATGATTTGTAGGCTCTCTCCAAACCATCGGGACAGCAAAGCGCATAGACCGTTTTTTGCCATTTAACCAGCTCCTCAGACTTGAAGCACATGTATTACAGCAGATGTGGGGTGCCCACTGTTTGTCTTGATCACCTAGTTTACAACCGAAATAAAGCTGATATGCCTTTGTTATTAGTGGAGTAATAGAACGTCTCTGAGACGCAAAAGTCACATCACCACACACGTAACAAAACTGATCTGGATTGTTTACACACCGTCGAGACATTTTGCATGAACGCTGTCAGTCAACTGAGGAAAAAATGGCTAATATAAAACAATATAATGTACACGTATGTATAACGTAACACAATCATGCCGATTACATCATCTTTCCTTGCCGAATATAAAAATGTAGCACGTGCATTCTTGTGAATTACAGTATATCAACACTGTCACAGCAGGAACACATATAATTACCGTATCTCTAAAACTTGAACTAATATTGAAAAAATAAGTTTCATTCCGGTTTTAGCACATTAAAAATAGTAATATTTTGTTGATTTTATTTAGGATATTTTTTTGCTGTTTATCAGTGTTATTTGGAGCCCTATCTATGAATTCCACAAAAGTAAAATTAAAAAGTACGAAAGATGTTTCTAAAATATCTATGCTATAGAAGTAATGGTGTCTATCCTCCAAGAAGATATTACTATCAATTATTTTTTAATAGACTTGGTGTCTCTTCGTTGGAGAAGCAGAGAGAGCTGGAGTCGCGGCGTCGATCATATTTATATACAAATTACTGCATGGTAATATCGTCTGACCTGTTTGACATCCAAATATAAAGTTTACTTTTTCTGCAAGCGAGCACAAACAGATCTTCTACCTAAAGCACCAATAATTTTTATGTGCAATAATGCGAACAGCATTGGGAGTTTTTATGATATCTGCTGTAGATTTCAGTGCTATACGCTCACATATAATCTTTTTTACTCCTTTCTCTAGAGTCTAAGTGATTTCGTTTGTTATATATTTATACAGGGTGGCGCATCGAAAACGAAACAGACGCATTTACTGGCAGCTCAGTTTTTTTTTGAAAAAAGCCGTCGATTTTGTTTTCGAGGAGGACACAAGTTTGGCAAAAAATCACGTTAGCACGTGCAGCCCTCTAAGCGGGGGTGACACCACCCCCAAAATCTTAAATGGAAAGGGGGGTCGAGTGATACCTTATGTTGAAGGTGTTCCAATTCCCTTTATAATGAGATAAAATTAATATACTTCAGTTCAGTAGTTTTGAAGATTTATTGATTTAAAGCTTAAATAAAAATAATACATCATCATTAGTGGAGATCAATAAATTTGGCAGCAAAGGAATTTAAAAATGAAGAATGAACTGACCCATTAGGCAAATATACTAAGCGATATATAAATCCGCACACCCAGTTTAAATGGTTTTATTTTAATAAAATTTTGTATAAATACTTAATGAAGCATAATAAGTAAATGATAAAAATTTCAAAATGATTGCACTGCTTTAAAGCCCTTTGACCTTTAATAATGTGTGGATGCACCCTGATGTGCTACGCATTCTCCAACGCGCCTAGGCATGCTTCTGATCAGGTGGTCAATGTCCTCCTGTGGTATCTAATTCCAGGCAACCACCAACTCCTCTCGAAGTGATTCTAGAGTCTGAGGAGGACGTTGCTAATTGAGCAATCTCCTAACCATCATATCCCACACATGCTCAATTGGGGATAAGTCGGGAGATCTTGGTGGCCATGGTAACAATGTGACATCATTATGTTGAAAGAAGTCTATTGTGACTCTTGCAACATGTGGTCGGGCATTATCTTGTTGGAAAGTTGGATCTGCCAGGGTGTCAAGATAGGGTAAAAGATGGGGTTCTAGAACTTCGTGGATATAACGCTGCGCGTTCATGTTACCTCTGATGAAGATTAAAGGTGACCCGGAACCATAACATGTCTTTCAACAAAAAACTGTGGATTCCTCCTTTCACCACGTCGCCTTCTAACCCTGGCACGACCATCGTGCATGCCTAAACAAAATAGACACTCGTCACTAAAGACAATACTGTTCCATTCCTGATCCCAGAGTGACCGTTGTCTGCACCACTCAAGGCGATTACGTCGGTGTTCTCGAGTTAAAGGGAGGACCCAGTGTGGTCGGTATGAAAACAAGCCAAAACTTCTCATTCGTCAGTAAACACTTCGCATGCCAATAGGTCTTCCGTGTTCTGCAAACCATTCATTTGCAATGGACCTGGTAGTGGAGAAACGGTCCCTCAAGGCCAATAATCTTAGGCGGCGATCTTCAGGGCCTGTTGTTCTACGGCGGCGTCCAGTGCCCCTTGCTCTTTGTGAACGGCCTTCTCGAAGCCATGCCTGACAATACCTAACCACAGTGTCTACACTTCTTTGCATTCTAACTGCAATTGCCCGAAAAGAAAGTCCAGCTTCCCGAAGTCCCACTATACGGCCCCTATCAAACTCACTAAGTTGACGAAATCGTTCAGGTCTCCGTACTCTAGGCATCGTAACCGATCGTAAGGGATGTCAAGAACCAAAATCCGCCAACGTTGATTCTTTACTGCGGCTGAAATATTCATTTTTAGAGCGTAAGTGAATTAAAAAAAACAGTATAAAAACCGGAATGTCCAACTGATAAGGCTGAAAATTGTTTCACTTGTTATTTACAGTAAGATAAATACATTCACCAACTTTAATTAAAATAAGACCATTTAAACTGGGTGTTCGGATTTATATGTCACT